CCTGAAACCAGCAGGGAGAATGTTGAATGACGAGACCTAGATAGTCTAGCATGATGCTAACGCACATCGAGGGGAACTCCATCCGCTTTCAGCAGGAAAGCGTCGGCCGTCTTCAAAACCTCCACTTCCACCTCTCGTGTCGATGTCCTGGCGCTGCTGCATCCACATCCTCCTTGGCTCTTCAGCATCGTCTTCCCTCTGACTTCAGCACACATCACTATGCTTCCCATCTTTTCAAAAAAGTTCTTTCTCTTGACCTGCCCTCCTCGGCTGACTTCCCTTTCCTTTCATTAACAAATTCCTTCAGAAGATAGTCTATCTTCACCTCTCCTCCCATTATTCTTCAAACCACAGCAGTCTGCTCGTCCTCACCATTTCTGACTCTGACCTAAGACCCAGAATGGCACAATTACCAAGTCTAATTGGCACCTACTGTTCCTTCACCTCCCAGTGATATCTGCCTTCTCTCCTTCAATTTTTCTCCACACTTGTCTTCCATGACACCACTTTCAAGGTTTTCTTTAAACGTTTTGTAAGAGGAAGGCCATCTTCTCTGATCGTCCTATTCTCCTGCCCCTTAAAGGCTGCTGTTTCTGTCATTCCTCAGAGCATAATCATTAATCATCTTTTCTTGCCCTGAGTATCTGATCTCCTTGGGTGATTTCATCTGGTATTTGTTACTATTTCTATGTCACAAATTATTTTAAAATTAGAAGCTTAAAACAGCCATTTAATTGTGCTCACAGATTCTGTGGATCAACAGAACGGAAAGGGTGCAGTGGGGATGACTCCCTCTACTCGACAATGTCTGAAGCCTGAGCTGAGAGGACTCGGGAGCTTGAGTGACTTCCGTGCTGGGGACTGGAAGGAGGAGTCTTTACTCACAGGTCTGGTGTCTGGTCTGGGGCTACCAGTAGTAGTACTGACATGTGACCTTTCCATGCAGCTGGGGCTTCCTTACAACATGACACCTCGGAGCTTTTACACGGGAGTTGAAGAATTCAAGCACAGGTATCAAGATCAACAAGGTAACAGTTACACCGCCTTTTCTGACCTAGCCTCAGAATCACCCAATGTCACTTGGACCACATTTTACTGGTAACATAACAGTCACATATCTACACAAGTTCAAGAGGATTCCACCTCTTGAAATGAGAAATGTCAAAGAATTTTCAACCATTTTTTTAAAAACCTCTAACACTCAGCTACAGATTCTACTATAGCACCAACATATCTGTCTCAAGTCCAGATCTCTAGATTAATATAGTCAGTTGCTCTAAATTTATATGCATCCAATTGCTTACTACACTACGACCAGTAATAATAATAATAGCAAAGGATAATATGCGCATAGCACGTGCCAGACACAGTTCTAACAATTTTGTACTTACTAACTCGTGTAAACCTCACAATCACTCCAGGAGGCAAGTACCATCATTATCATTTTAACAAAAATGTTAAATGATTTGCCTGAGCTCACACAGCAAGTGCAATGGAACTGGGACACCACTCAGGCAGTCTGGCTCCAAACTGTAGTCTTTCAACCAGTACACTAAACAGCACAGATATTCTCCAGGTATTGCAATTCCAGCAGGACCAGAACTGTGCTTTAATCCGCCGTTTCCTCATTAAAACAAAAATGCCTTTCTGTACTTCTTATATATTTTATCCTTGTCAGTAATTCTACTATTCATGTAATACCCAGTGAAGAAGTCTGGGAGCCATCCTAACCTCCTAACGTCTCCCTAATCCCCCATGTGAGGTGTGTCCCCAGATTGTGTCAATTAACCTTCTTAAGGATTCCCACGGCTGCCACTCCTCTCAAGCCCCACTGCCCAAATCAACATCTTCCCCTGGATTATTGCAGTAATTTTTAACTGGATTCCTTGCTTCCTGTCTCCTGTAATCGTGGTTCATCCTCCCACCTCCCCGAACGATGCTTATAAAATGCGAATGTGAGTATTACACATGTTGCTCAAAATTCATCCAAGGCTCCAGAGAAGGGTATATTGGTGCAACATGTAAATGCCCTCTGATGTGGCTTCTAATTGCTATGACCCTTGTCTCCTGTCCCTGCCTAATGGGCCAAGGTCTGTCCTTACCAAATCACCTGCTGTTTCGTAATTTGCCATCTGTTTCTTGCCTCCCTGCCACCGCACATTCTATACAGTTCCTTCCACCTTGAACGTCCTCCTTCCTGTTCCCTTTCCAGTTCCTGATCACCTGGAAAACTCTTACCTATCAAGATGTAGCCCTAACGTCCCTTCCTCTGGAAACTTTCATTGATACTTTCCCCAAGGAGAGTTGATTACTTATTCACTGTACAAAATCTTGTCCCAGCACTCAACACATGATGTGATCACACTTTCCATCTCCATCTCTATTTTATTACTGGCTCCTAGAGGAAAGTAAGTTGGTCTTATTCATCTTTGCAATCCCAGTGCTCGGTTTGTTTGTTGAATGAATGAATAAAAGAAACCATAATACATAGTGATATATATAGGAAATAAGCAGGGGGAAATTTACATCCATTGTAGAAGCCTGGAACAACAGCAGGAAAATGAACAGAAACTGGACAATTGAAAGGCACAGAGGTCGGAAAATCAGTTTGAGGTGATTAAAGAAAAGGATAGGTTTGGTTTTGCACAAGTTGAACTGTATTTGTACCAGTGAGTGGTTAGAAAAACAGGATCAGGAAATAGATGAAAGTTCAAGGTTAAATGATAGACTTGAGAATTATAATAGAAGAGATAATTAGTTGAATCAACAGAAAAGGTTTCCAGTTACATAAGAGTAGACTGAACAATTTTATTAGCCCTCTTCTAAAAGGAAAAAGTTAAAAGACTTTCTAAACATGGTTTAAAATAATAATCACAGAAGTATTATTTAATGGAATCATAGGTGATCAAATCCTTTAAGAAGGGAAACATAAAAAGAAAACAGATGAAAGGCTCATTCAAAAAGAACTTTTTCTTAGGACAGGACCCAAACCAAAAGCAGGAACCTCCAGGACTATTTAGGGCTGGGTCACTGCTTCTTCCTCAGGAGACTGCCTTACAGCTATTTTCACCTCCACCTTGACAGCCACCTCTGAACACCTTCCCGGTGACCTCAGTGGACAGTAGGATACAGGAAAGCTGCCTATTTCAGATCCCTGCTTTCCATGCTCTCTGCAAGGCCCCTGTGAACTCCCTGGGTATTACACTGATTGTGTATAGATGCCACTTACATCTGAACGATGCCAAAATGACTGGTAAAAAGGCAGGGAAAAAAAGACAGAAAACAGAAACATATAATCAACTTGTCATACAAGTCAGCTCATAAGGTAAAGTATAAACGACTGATTGTTACAATTACGCAACACCAAATAACTTGTCTGATTTTTTTTCTGAATTGACCTTTCAGGTTGTGTGTGTGTATCATGCAGACACAGCCAGTGACTGACAGAGAAAATGTGCTTTGTGATAATATAACCAACCCAAATAGGCAAAAATCAACATGAATACATGATTATTTCCTTGATAACCCAACATAGGTGGGGCACTGGAAAATGTTTGGGACCAGAAAACCCCAACCACTGGGGACTTTTAGATAATCCATCACAGTGGACAAAGAAGTTCCAATCCAGGTTTTTGTGATTTACACTGTCCCTGGGCTAGTCCACTTCGCTTACAGCTTCCCGAATCTCTTTTCTCTATCAGTCTTAAAACCACATCCAAACAGACAACTCTATTAATAAAGTATTTTGCAGCTCTGTTCTCCTGGACTGATAAGGCCCTATCACATTGGGCATGGACCTCATTCTTGGGTTTTTAAAGCATTTCATACTTCTCCCTCGTCCTTCCCCCTCTCCTTGGGAACCAGAACATCCTGGGGTGTAACACCACAAATACTTGACTCCACACTGAGACGATGACAGGAACCGCCCCAAACTCTCCTGATCTCCAGACCTAGACCAGCCAGACAGTGGAGTCAAACAGACCTGGTTTGTGATCTCAACTATACCACTTATTAGCTGTGTGATCTTATGCAAGCAACTCAACTTCTAAGAAATTAATTCTTTATTTGAAAAAAAATAGAAATAGTAATACAATCTGATGGACTTGTCATGAGGATGAAGATCATATGGTAAAGCAAACATCACAGCACCTGGACCATGAAGATGCTCAGTGAACACCCACCCCCTCCTTTCCTTCTGTGTAGTTTCATCCTGTTTGGGGGTCCTCTTGCAGCGTCCACACAGGACAGCCTCAACTCCTAGGTTTCTGTTACACTTGACACCCATGTGTCAAAAACGTAAGCTGAGAGACTGAATTTGAGGGCGGTGACAACTACTTCAACCAAAATTGCACTACACTTTGAAAATATTGATGAACCATCTTCACATGTGTACTTTTAGGTGGTTCATTGGATTGGCTACGTTTGCATGACATTTTCATTTTCAGATTTCTTCACATATACCCACGAGTATACAGGACTATATGTACTTAACTGCAGAAATGCTTCACACTTACTGAGCACTTACAGGCACTGTGCAGAGATAGCTCATTTAATTCTCAGAGCAACCCTATCAAAGAAGTACTATTATTATCCCCATTCTATAGATGAGGAAACTGAGGCTTAAGGACATTAAGAAATTTAACCAAGGTCACAGAGCTAGTAAGAAAACTGCTAAATAGCCAACTGCATTTATGATGCATGTTGTTTTATTTTAATTGAAAGTAAAGGGTCTGTGGTTTAACTGCTTTTAACTTCGAATGAAGCTCACTGCTGAGCTGCAAGCAGAAGGTAAAACAGGAGGACAGGTGTTGCTTTAAGAGAGTGATGGGCGTTGTAACCCGAAGCCTCCTCCGCCCAAAAGGTCTGAGAGGCTGCACCCCGGTGCGCGTCTGTAAACTCCCGCGGGTCTGGCGCGTCTCCTTCTTCCAAAGTTGGAGCTCTCCTTGGTGGGAGGGGGCGGGGAGGAGGGGAGGCCGGTGACGTCACTCTGGGATGGGAATAAAGCTCCCGGGCCGCGGTCCGGCGAGGACACTGCCCCGAGAGCAGAGTGGGCTGTCCCACTCGGGGACACTCGCTGCGCCCCCGCCGGAGGAAGGCCGTGCCAGGAGGCACCATGCCCCAAAACGTGGTCCTGCCGGGCCCTGCGCCCTGGGGCTTCAGACTCTCGGGGGGCATAGACTTCAACCAGCCTTTGATCATCACCAGGGTAGGTGTTTTCCGTTCTTTTGCTGCAAGTGGGGACTCTGGCGTGCGGCCGGTCCCCCTGGAGAGGAGAGTGGCCAGTGAGGCAGTGGAGTGTGCTGGGTGGGTCCTCGGCTTCGGGCTCACAGTTCGAGGGGCGGCAGCATCTCGGCAAACTAAGGTTTGGGGATGCAGAGCAGTTGAGAGAATTAACCACGTCAGTTCCACTGTCTGCAGCCTCTTGGCCCCCAGCAACTTTCTGAGGAGAGGTGAACTGACAGCGTGGTTCCCATGGCCTCAGAGAAGCTGGGCTGTGAGGTGGGCTGCCTTCTCGCCCTCCACTCCTGGTCTCCTTTTCAGTAACAAACGAGGTGGGGGCCACGGGAGGAGAGACGAAGGACCTAACAATAGTGGTTGCTTCTTGGAGCTAGACTCGCATCTGAGCGCTCTCCTTGTCTGGATGAAAACTTCGGCAGGGCGCTGTTCACAGGGCACAACCTGGGCCCGCCAAGCTGGAACCGCCCTTATCAGCTCAGACAGGGAATATATTACTAATCTGTATTCCTAGGTTTCCAGGCGTTTTGAATAAATATTTTCCAAAGCTGGAAACTTGGCTAAGAAATCATCACCTATAACTCGAACTACAAAGAAAACATGTCAGATTGTTTCCTTTACCTGAGGGAGAGTCACCACTCAGTCTAATAACTCAAAATAATACTTTCCTATCAAATTCAAGCTTTCTTTCCTTAATAGTCTCTAAAGTATTGTCTAATCAAAAAGAAAGAAAGAAAGAGGGAAACTTCAGGATCTGTCCTGCCAGTAAATTTCTAGTTGGTCTAATTGATTTTTTTCCTAACATATGTTTGCCTTACTAACAATGTTATTGTTATTATTTCAGTGATAAGTAATAAAGCACATTAAACCTAATTTTAAAACATAAAGTTTCAGAATATTATACCTTTACTTAATGCTTTATTTTCTTCATTTTTATACTGTTTTATAAATGTATACTTTATAATCTGATATACTCACATCAATTTTTAAACAAGGTAATACCTTTAAAATTCTGTTCTACTTACTAGTTTTGAGAACCAATGTCTTTTTAAAATATCCTCAAAACGTACCATACAGATGCATACTATGGAACATTTCAAGCTTTGTTTTACATTTTTCGAAAACATGTAAACACATCTGACATGTGTGTTTTTATATAAGACATAAAAACTTAACACACCCCCAGAAATGTTCCTAAGTAAATTAGGCAGAAAATGGTCCAGTGATCTGGGCCAAACAATGCCTTTTATGGATTTATCAAAGGAAACAGCTTCCATTATCTCTGCTAAGAAATACTCTCAAAGTTTCTAAAGTACAGTTTTCCTTTGTTTATATTAAATGAAATAAGCTTTTGAATCGTAACAGAGAATAAATCATATTTATATTAAATCCTAAAGAAATCACTCAGTCACAAAAATCCTTCCAGTGATTTATAGAAGAAATATCGTACTATTACTGTGGAACATAATATGATGACTCTTATGCTTGAAAAATTGAGTTGTTGATACTATAAACAATGTTTATTTTAAAAAACTCAACATTTTGGAGTTGACTGCAGGAGCATATGGTAAACAGTTGATATAATGACATTATTTGGGAAGCCAATTCTGTTTGAATTTTTAACTCATAAGTAATTTGCATCACATTGACACTTGTTTCAATAATAGTGCACAACCACAGATGATTATTTCATTTGACGGTGGATTTTCTTTTCAGTTAATTTAACTCAAAGAGAGCAAGTTAAAACTAAACTGTTTTGTAGTCCAGGGGTCCCCAAAACCATTCACATAGAAGATTCTTGTTGAATAAGTGAAAACATATTCACTTGAAATTTTTTGCTTTAGTGAACACCTAATCGAGAATATTTCCACTGAAATTATAAGAATACTAAAAATCATTTGGAAAAAACCTAAAAGATATTACCCCAAAACAGTTATCAGTGTTGTAATTAGGTATTAGAATAATTCTATTAAGTCAGTAATTTTAACATTGTGCTAAAAGGTGGTTAATGAGGTTATGTGTGTGTTAGCGCACTCTTTCGCCTGCCATGCACTCTCCTAAGCCCTTTATAGGCACTAACTCACTTAAATCACACAATTATCCTAAAAGATAGTAGTAGTAATAACCCTGCCGTTGATCACAAGTGGTGAAACAATTCAAGGTCAAGTCTACCTGCCTCCCAAGTCTTCATCCTGAAGCCCGTACATATGAAAGATTCTGTTTATTGTACAAATGTTTCCAAATAGGTGTTTTGTGCCATCCAGCCCATCATCTGGTCCTACTGATTTTATGTCTTTAAGATCTACCACTTTCTTTTTTCCAACCACTGTCCCTCGTTGAGATTTCATAATTTCATGCCTAGCTGTTTGTCTCCCTGCTGCAATTCGTCCTGCATATTCTTACCAGCCATCTTTGAGATGGTTGATGGCTGCTCCTACCTTTCTCATTCTTAAAAATTCTTCAGTGGCAACCCCCAGTTTATAGAGAACAGAATGTGTGGTCTTTAGCACGGCATTCATGGCTTTCACCATCCATCCCGACTCATGTCTCCCACTTCACTTCCTCCCTCTTCCTCCTCTCTCCCCTTCCTCCTCTCACTCCATGAATAGGTAGTAGTCCAAAACTCGACCACTTATAATTTCTCTAACATGTCTTTGCTCCTGCTGTCCTTTTCCCCCAGAATTCTCTTCCCCACCCACCCCGTAGTCCTCTGTGCTTGTGGAAACCCATTACGATACCACTCCTCCAGCCTTCCTCCGGGAAAAATCACTGCATCCGCTTAACTGCCCTAGCTCTTGACCTGCAGCCTCTTTATATCACACCTTGTACCACAGATGTTTGAGTACATCTGTATCCCACAGATTGCGTGCTCCCCTCTCAAGGCAAGAACTCGCAGGTTTGGGGCTCCTCAGTGCCAAGCACAGGGTCTAGTGTATCACATATGTTATAGAATAAATACAGACACAATATGAGTAATAAACAAAAGTGTCCACTTTTGACATAACTTCATTATCATAATAGGTGCAGACTGTGTCTTCAGAAATATCCCACAATAAAGAAAAAGGAGAGTTGTTTTATTGTGCATTGATTTGTCTGTTTTAGATAAGTTCTTAAGTATGCAAAGAATTGAAATGCCAATGCCTGCACTTAACGTCACAAAAAGTCCCATAAATGAGATATATTCCTCAAGTCAATTAAATCAGTTTTTGTCCTATAAGCAATGCCCTCCCTTCCTCTCCTCACACTCTACAAAAGCACACTATAGCAGTGCTCCTAGACGGTGGTGCTCGGCTCCACCGTCTGCTGGGGAAGGGGTTTACCAATGCAACTCTCTCCATTAGCTGAAATTACAATTCACAAAATGAGGACAAAGGGTCCTCACCCTATAATTGTTTACAATCCAGTGGGGTGAAACTTTGTATCATAAAAAACCATGAGAAGTAAGATAAATCAAACACCAGACATTCTCCCAAAAAAAACTGAGCCATTGGTTGCGATACAATTTTTAGGAAAGCAGTTTCTAGGCAAGGGTGTGCTATACTTCCCGTGATATAAATTTAACTTGTGGATGGATGTTCAGTGCAGGGGAGGGGGCTATTATGGCAAACACTATATACAACTGGCCAGCATTTCATAGAATAAAGTTTAAAGTTCACATCTCTAAGTGAGAAGCTGTTCTTTTTCTGGCAAGAAGGTTCTAAGGAGTCTCTTTCTTAAGTGTTAGGACCACCCAGAAGGTGGATCTACTATCTCAGCCAAGTTACAGATGGTTTGTTTTCACAAATGGTCCAATTTGGAATAAAGTACAAGCTTCTTTTGTGTACACGATGTAAAATTGCTGTATACATCGGATGCCAGCATGTCCCTTCCCACTCAGTTCCTCTTCCCCCTCTTCCCCCTCTTCCCTCCTTTCTACGCAGAGCACACCCGGGATCAAGATGCTTCGTGGACCTGGGTACCAACAAAGAAAATGCTAGTGTATTCTTAAGTTTTGCAGGGTTTAACATAGAAAAGTATAGTTCTTTAATATATATTTGAAATTTGAACTTTTAGAAAGAAATATTTACCGTTGAATGCAATCTTCTCCCAGGTAGCCCTCAGTATCCTTGGGGGATTGGTTCCAAAACCCCCACCCTTATACCCACCCCACCCTCCCAACCCCTTAGCCCTTCCCTCGAGGATACCAAAACCCCAGGATGTTCAAGTCCTTTATATAAAATGGAATTTGAATATAAACCTACGTGCGTCCTCCACTTTGAATCATCTCTAGATTACTCATAACACCCAACACAATGTAAATGCTATGTAAATAGTTGCTGGCATGCAGCAAATTCAAGTTTTGCTTTTTGGAAATTTCTGGGATTTTTTTTTCAAATATTTTCAACCCTCAGATGCTTGACTCCTGGATGCAAAACCCACAGATTCGGAGGGTCAACCATTTTTAATTTTGTTCCAGACCTGTCTGCAACGCTGACATCTGTTCCTAACATTCATACATCCCACAAGTATATTCCACCCCCCAGCCATAACTGTCTTGCTCTGTGACTATTTCAATCATTTTTATTCTTCACATAGACATTCCATCAGGGCCACATCTTGGACTTCCCTCATGTCTCCCACAGTTAACAGGTCATTATAGATGCTTCACCTGTGATTTAAATTCGTTTTTCCCAAATGGACCCAAGTAATCGGCTGATGTGAATAACGGAAATCATCTGAGGCACTTGTTAAAAATCTAAATTTCCTAGTTCTTCTGCTAGAGTTTCTAATTCCTGATTCCAGGCAATAGAGTGGGACTGGGAACTTTGTTAAGCAAAGATTCCCCATGATTCTCCTAATCAGACAAGTTTGAAACCATGTGCTAAGTGATGAATGGTAGTGCTATTTCCAAAGATCTCTCTAGCGCTTTTGATATTTGAAACCCTAATGAATCTGAATAATAAACCCGCTGAAAACCTCTTTGCCTTATTTTAGTCTCTCTTCTCCTAATTTGGAAAAACATGTTAAAAAATAAACTGTGAGCAATAAGATCAAGCAAAAGAAATAAAATAAAAAGTAATAATATAATAAAGTCATAATATAAAATAAAGCTGAGAATTAATATATCCTTATGATTAAACAGAGAGTTTAACTTACTAAAACCAGGCCATCTTAGTGGTCATTTGCTGATCACTAGCCTCGCTGTGCATGAGACTCAGAAGAAGTGAAAGAACATGTGTTCTCCTTCTCTCTCAGCCCTCTCTCTACATACTATTTTCTTTCTTATCAACTCCCACCTTGGAGGTCCCGGGACATCAGTGGCCAGGTTGGACGCAAGGTCAGAAGTTGGTTCTGGCCACCACTATCAACCACTGGTTTCCTATTTGACTAATGAAACTGCCAGCGACATAGCCGTACAGCTGCTCCCACCTTAGTGAGAAGCCGCAAGTTTCTTAGTCACTTCACCTCCTCTGAAAAATAGAAGCAACCTTCTACGTCCAGCCTGTCTTAGAGTGGTTGCAATGGTCAAAGTTATTAGAAAGCGCTTGCAAATGTAATCTTCTGGGTAAATATAAGAGTGTTATTAACTTCTGTATTAATGCTGTGAATAAAATTTAGTAATATTCAGTATCTAAGTTCAGCACACCAAATGCCTCTGTTTAAAATTTATATAGACAGATACACACAAAACCCTTCCTTCCACTCATCCTAATCACAGCTGGGAAATACTGTTAGGTTTTCTAAACCAAGATCAAGTGTCAAATATAAATCAAATTCAAGGATATTAGAAAAGCTAGGTGAGGCTTTAAAAGCAAACACATTGAGCCATGCTTTCTCATGTTTTAACTCAACAAATAGCACACTGGTCTTAGACGTTTAAAAATAGATTGTACTGATTTTGACAAAGTATAGTTAGAGGAAATTAGAAGTTTGAGGTTATTTTTATCACTATAACTCATATTAGAGATGGAAACTTTTGCTCTTCTAACAGTTCTGAGTCTGGGAGAATTTCTAAATGCAAAAACACCTATGAAATGCCTCCCAAAGCTGAAACGTAATAATCCTCAGTTATCTTCATTCAGCTCCCATCAACTGTCCAAACTGGAAAATTATCATGATCTCTCTTAGAGCCATGAGGTTAAATCAAATCAATCATTTGCAAATTAAGCAAATAGACAAACAATGAATTAATGACTGATCCTCCAGTTTAACATTAGGAATGACCTAGTTTATTCCTGGAGTCAAGTCTTAGATGTTATTCTGCTCTAAATAGTGGGAACTAGCAAAAGAAACAATGGCAAGTTGACAGTAGTAGCCATAATCTTTGGGTATGTAAGTACTAGTTCTTTTCATTTCACAAGCTCTGATATAAATGTCCTTTTCATTCATTTTTCGAAGAATTATTCATTGATTACAAATACTGAATTTATTCTGTGAAGCATCAGGAATATACATAATATTATGGATATCCTCAAGAACTTCTGGTTGGGAAGACAGACAATACACAAGTGAAAAAACAAACATGAGAGTACATATTGTCTTCATAAAGGCAAAGAACAGGTAACAGAGAAGAACAATGGGGAGGGGCTAGAGAAGCTACATCAGATGTCTGGGGAGGTCTCTCTGAGAACATGACATTTAAGCCTATACCTCAAGGATGAGAAAGAGCAACCAGGTGAAGAGTAGGGGGGACATTTAAGTCCCAAGTAACAGTGTGTGCAAAGCTTGGAAGAGGGTGCAAGCTTGGCCTATTTGTGGAACAAAAAGGAATTCAGCCTAGCTATGGAGCAGTGGATGAGGGGAGGAGGAATGGTATGAGGGGATGGTAGAGAAGCAGGCAGCATAAGACCGGGTGAGGACTATTAGGGGCTTGTCAATAGTTGGGATTTACCCAGAAAAAAATGGGAACAGGTGTAGCAATCAAAAGAATAATTAATGGTATACTCAACATGTATTTATTGAAATAACTTGAAATAATTTCAGATTTCCTATTTTCTAAACATTTAACAACCATATTTTTCCCATATCATTTCCCATACCGTTCCTCATATTACCCCCCCAAAAAAACCCATGTGAATTTCTTGCAGACAGCATCAAATCAGATCTTGCTTTTTTTTTTCCTACCTAGTTTGACAATCTCTGTTAAAAAACAGAATGTGATGTGTTTTTAGGTCATTTACATTTAATGTAATTACTGGTATGGTTTAATTAAAAGCTATCATCTTGTAAGTTGTATTCTATTTGTTCCATCTGTTCTCCATTCATGGAGAAGAGCTGTACATGGATACAAATTTCCCTCGTGTCTGCGGTTCCCAGGGGTTCTAAACTCTGAATATTTAACTCACACTTGGCCTCTAGCAATTTGTTCAGAATTTTAGTGAATTCTTCTTAACAGGTAGTATGGTGGCTTCATCTTCTATTTTCTGATACAGGTGAGCCCACACTTACATCTCGTCTTTCCTTGGAAGCTCCTATCTTTCCTTCGATTCCAAGCTAGTTGATTGCCTTGTAACTTCAGCTGTCTGAAGAGTCCAGGGAAGTTATAATTTTGCATATTAGCTGGCTTCTTCTTGTTAACACAAGAGGGATTGATTCTCTTCCGAGCTTTCTACATCCCAGGGGCATGACAGGGATGCTGAAGCAGTTTCAATTCAAATATAAAACCTCCCCAAATGTAGTAAACTTCTATTCCCAAATAGAGAATTCTAGGTGACAAAGAAACACTAAAAAACAAATTATTTTGTTTAAACCAAAGAAAATATGATTCAAACAGGGAGTTATGGAAGATGTTTTAAAAGAGAATAAGAGATACATGGTAGAGGAAATATGGTTAGTAAGAAATAAATTATTTTACATAATGAGAAAATAGAGATAACAGAATTGATCAATTAAGTTATTTTAAGTTAAATTTAATATTTCCTAACCAATAAAACATATAAAATGTTACCAAGGTTAAATACAAATGCCAGGGACAAAACTCAAGATATTGCAGGATGTTGATTTTAAAATGTGCGATGATTTCTTACAGATCACTCCAGGCAGCAAGGCGGCAGCTGCCAACCTGTCTCCTGGAGATGTCATCCTGGCTATTGATGGCTTCGGTACAGAGTCCATGACTCATGCTGATGCACAGGACAGGATTAAAGCGGCAGCACACCAGCTGTGTCTCAAAATTGACAGGTGCTCTTTAATTAATGGTGTTAAAATTTGATCTGTTTTGCAGGAGAACCTGAACCAGAACTATAAATGATTCATCCTCCCACTGAGAAGGAGTATCACAGGACCCAGAATTTTGACTGGCTTTTTAATATATCAGCCACTTTGGTTTGTTCTTCACTGAAGTCAGTCAGTCTAGTAGCTGTTAACAAATGATTTCTAAAAAGAATGCTCTGGAATGTCAGAATAATGAAAGCAGCTGAAAGAATTTTTTTCCCTCTACTAACCCAGTTAGTTGACAATGAAAATAGAACCTTTAAAGGTATTGGCCATAAAAACACTGAACAGCATGTCGCGTTAGTTATACTGCTGTTCTAAACATGGTAGAGAATGGAATGGAATTTAGAAATGCTCCTGAAAGAATCTCATGCTTCCCAAAATGTGATCATGTTAAAAATTGGTTGCTAATATCCTCTATGCCATTGGCTTTTTTGTACTGAATTCAGCCTAGAAGAATCTCACAAGGTGTGAGAGTGTATGTGCACATGAGGGTTTCAGACAATGAGACATTTCTGACCAAAAACAGTATTAGGAAATCGAACCTGATCTATTGCCATCAGATCTGAAATTGAACTGTGAAAATAATGATTTGTTACAGCGTTGTTAGTGTGTTGATTCTGTTGCTGCTGTATTCACAGTTTTCCCTGCTGTGGTACAGAAGGCACAACCCATCAGCCACTCTGCCATGCCATGGGGTGAAATTGACTCTTCCCCATCTCTGCATAATCTGTGATCCTGCCAAGCACACAGTTTCTTAAGAGCCACACGATCCCAAGTAGATACATGAGAAAGGCTGGACAAAGCACATTTCCTTCATGCCAACGGCAAATCCACCTGGCAAATCACTCACTGCCTCCTGTGGCGCCCTGGGTAGGCTAGGAGGGAAGTAGGGGAGACCTAAGGAGCTTGCTCTGGGGTCATCTGTCTGCAGGGTGTGCCTCCTGAATCTCCCTCTCCTGTACTGCTTCCCCCATGCGCTGGAGACCACTTCCTCCAGAAACGGTACCATGTCCTTGCCTCAGTCGGTTCCAGATGCTATAAGTGAACACCACAGACTGGATGGGTTAAACAGCAAACATTTATTTCTCACAGTTATGGAGGCTGCAAGTCCAAGGTCAGGGAGCCGGCATGGTTGGCTTCTCAGTGAGAACCCCTTTCCCGGTCAAGTCCTCTCATGGCCCTCCTTGGTATGTGCACACAGAGGAGAGCAAGAGAGATCACAGGCCTCTTCTTTTTATAAGGGCATTAATCCCACCATGAGCCCCCTACTCTCATGACCTAATCTAACCCTAATTACCTCCCAAAGACCCCACCTCCAAATGCCGTCACACTGGGGAGGAGGATTTCAACACGTGAATGGGCTGGGGGGTGCGGGGGGCACAAGCATTCAGCCCATCGCAGTCCTCCAGGCAATTCTGATCGATTCGAGCCTTCCCAAGAGTACACTGAAAACATAAGACTAATTAGACGAGCGAGTACAGGATAATGAGCAAGGAATATTGCTTTTGCCTTTATCAAGGGTTGATAGTATTTTCACAAACATAGGCAATTAAAGTATCTCAAACTGGAAGTGCCATTAGAATTTGGGGGTTTATAAACTTTATTTTATTTACAGGGCGGACACTCGCTTATGGTCTCCACAGGTATCTGAAGATGGGAAGGCTCATCCTTTCAAAATCAACTTAGAATCAGAACCACAGGTATGAATTTTGGAGGAAATGGTGTTCACATTACGTTTCCTTTTAAATGATGCCCTCCGAGAGGAAAAAGTGACAAATAGAAAAAACTGGAATAAGCCACCAGATGAAGTAGCTATCTTTACTCTCTGAGATTAATTTACATTATCCATGCCGTCCTACATCGAGAAAAAAGAGAAGTATACCTAGGCAAACATCTTGTTCAAAGACAAATAGATTCTCATCAGGAAAAATGTGGCTATATCCACGTAGAGTCCGCTTATTTTTCATTTTTTTATGAGGAACTTTTGCCAAACGACCATGAATCCAAGAAATTTAAGATGTTAAAGCAAAACAAAATATAGGGTCTATCATTTGAAACAGGTGTCTCTAATCTTATAGTTATTGTAAACTTCAATTCCTCAAGGTCTTCACCCAGATCTTACTTTACATCCTTCTTTGATGATCAGTTCTGGCATTCTGTAATTAAGCTGACTCTAGGGAAAGAGTTTTGCATTATGTAATCATGATGATATTCTGCCTGTGCAGCTGAATTACAAAAGATAAAGGATCTTCCCTTGAGGCAACTCTATCTACGAAGCTAAATTAATCTAACACTCTGATGCTGACCTGACTATGCCTACTTTCAAAAGCTCCAAAAAAACTGAAATTAAACCAAACCTCCATTGTGCCATATGGAAAATCTAATCAATAAAAGGATTTTTTGAACCTCTCTTTGGTCAGAAGCTCCCCAAGGTTAGAGAGACAGAGATATATAAATTGAATACCCCTTTTTAAACAAGCACCCCTGCTAAGCTAATTATATATCCCCAGAGTTCAACTAATGAAAATGAACTGAAAATATGGTTCTAATTTATGCTTCAGCAAGGTTTCCCCTTTCAGGAACGCCGACTCCTGAAAATGTCCTTCAGGTTTTTCACTGTCTCCATCAGCCTCCATTCATTTCCTTCTTAGTAAAATACATGTAGGATACATATGTACATGTGTCTTACAGGGCTTCTCAAAGATTTCAATAAAATAATATAGAACAATAATTTGGCACACTGAATTGCTCACAGAGATACTCAGTCAGGTGGGCTCTGTCATGATCACTGGGTTCGGCACCCCTCCCACCAGGCGGTGCTCAGAAGGCCTCCTGGCCTGTCCTAACAGTGAGACAGAGCTTCCTGGAGACCAGAAACGTCTTCCTCACTGCTCTCCATGGGGCATTACATATTACTCTGGATGAAAACTTTATCATCAGCTCAAATACAAACCCCCCCAACCCCAGGAGAAGAAACATACTTCAACTTTCAGAGGGAACAAGTTTATCAGATCCTTGTCTGAGACTTTTGACTGGAGGGAGAGAAGAGCATGAGCCTAAAAGCCACTCAGAGCAAAAAGGGGAGGGCTTCAAACTGAGTAAGATAAGGACAATCACGAAGGCAGAGCCGGTGTGTCTGCTCTTACTCTGAGTTACCCCAGGCGTAGCACACAGCAGGCGCTCATTAAACAGCTGACGAATGAATGAAAAGAACCGGAGGCCCTAAAGAGAAACAGTTCTAACATGGCAGCCCTGGGGACGCACTCTCAGGCTGGGGTTCTGCCGCCGCCCCCAGAGGCTGCGTGCACAGCAGAGTGATCCTGAAGGCTGAGGCGGCCCTTCGGGTGAGAGCTCTGCTCTTCAGGGTGCGTGAGTACGAGGTAAAAGGGACGAGACAGGCAGTCAGTGCGGGGAGAAGGGACCTGCAACCTGGTGGTGGCTTACCCCCGCATCTGAGGTAGGTGGGTGAGTGACACCTCTAAGCATCCTCTCGGATGGAAGGAGAGACCGGAAGAAGGAGGCAGAACAGTTCTCCAGGCAGAGCTGTCACTTGCAGACAGCCCGTCGCAGTAATGCCCAACCCGCCTGCTTCCTCTAACCCTCAGCAGTTCATCACTTAGAGGCATCACGGGAGCAAAACAGACCATGTGGTGCTTTAAAAAACCAAAAAGGGAAATAAATTTAAGGCTCACATACACACATATATTGACCCTCCCCCAATCTCTGATTATCACTGTGACAAATTGGATAGAATTCTGAATTTGTTTTTCTATATCGCGTACACATCCAAAATTGGACTGCACCTTTTGCACATTTCCATTCAAATTTTTTTCCTAATTTTTTTAAACCCAACTTCATCAATATGAGATGCTAAAATATGGGACACATATTTGACCAGAGTGCCAAATCCCCAGTGATCCCTGATCACGTTGCAGTTTCCACTCCAGCATGTGGGCGACTCAGCACGTACGGATTTCATTAGGCACAGGGTGAGCCAGAGCATCATGGGAGCCTGTGTTTTGCTAATGTCTCTGGTCCAGAGTTGGAGTTTCAAGGCACCTGTCTGAGCTTTACTCTAGAGGAGGCCCCTTTTGTAGACCTATGAGTATTAATCTATGACTATGGTTATTCTAAGAATTGATTTTAGAAGATACTCCAAATTTTAAATACTCTGGCCTCTTGTCAGTCATTTATTAGCCCACGTGTCCTGCATTTTGCAGTTAGACAATATGGGTATTTATGATACTACAAACAGGAGAAAGATAAAGAATGAGAACAGTTTTGTTTTTTGTTTTTGTTTTTTTTAAGGGTGAAGATTGGGTTAAGGGCTAAAGAACTTGGTCAGATGGAGCCTCTGAACATTCCATTAGTTTGAGTCATGACTAATTCTTACTTGCACCCTCTCCAAGGGGCCAGTGTTTGAAAGGCTCAGGAATAAGAACCATTTCAGTTCTTCCCCTAAAGGACCAAAATGTTCCTACTCCTTATGAACCTCAGGCCAGATTCCTGCAGGACCAGTGCACGTAACTTGGCACTTCAGGACAGACCTTCCCTATATGACACAGCTAAATGTCAGCACAGCCTCTCCTATCTGAAAATCCTACAGCATAAACTAGAACAAAATGCAGTGATAAATATCAAACAGTGAATTTAACTTGTAGACTGAGATTGGAGAAAGGCTAAATTGTGGTTATGTTTATATTCCTTTTTAGAAAAAAAGTAATACAGAGCTATGCAAAGCGATGTCCTACAAAGAGAGGTTCTTTTTCTTTCTCCAAAACAGAACCCTACAAATAAAGCCAGCCCCTTCTGGACAACAAAGGTGTGTCAGGCTGAAAAACAGATGTCATTAAATCTTTAAAATGCCATTGTAGATGAAGAGTAAAATGTCACTGAGTGATATACAATATTTGAGGTTTCATTTCTCAACCCAACTCAAACTTCTGTTATAAGTTATATGACATTTGCTAATGGAATAAAATACTCTTTTTCATTTTAAAAGCAATACATACTCATTGGGGAAAAAAGATTTTATCCTACCATCCAAACCCAGCCACAAATAATAAAATGTTAGTGTCTTTTTTTCCAGTTTTTTCCCTAGGAATAGGTTTAGGCTTTGGGGACATTTTCTTACACAGTTACAGTAATAAATGATATAAAATCTTAGTATCTAGAGTTTTTACTTTTCCATGCTATTATTAAATAGATAAATTTTGATTTTATGAATTTAAACTCAAATCTTAGGGTTAAAAGAAACCTTACAGATTGTTTAGATCAATCCCCAGCCATTGAATAAACTTCCATACAATTCAGAACTTGGCCCATGAGCAGACAGGTGCATTTTTCTACACAAAGCATTACTCTAGACTAAAGGTATGTGTTAGAGTTCTTTGTCCCTCTCTAATGCTTACATTCTCCAATAAAACATTCCCCTCGCCTTTATTTAATATTTGCTGAACAACTCACAATCATAATGTACTTATCACAACACAGGAAAATACATTTTTCAGAAATAAAAATGCTGTTTTCTAAATGAGAAAATAGTTGTTTCCATCTCCACATAAAAGACTGCATCCTTTCCATGAAAGATTTGATAATAAAGATATATTGCATGCACAGTCAGGTGGGGTGTGGGTTAAAGTTGTCCTATTTTCATAAAATAACTTTACAATGTTTTGAGAACTGGACAGCAGCCTACACAAAACAAGTTTTCATAAAATCCCCTTTTCCCCACACTCTTCCCCAGTGAGATATGGGGAAACACTTGAAACAGATCACTGAAGAAAAAACAATGATACGGGTGACTTTTCATCTGAGGGGTGAGCATGAGGAGGGGGGAAGGGATTGCTCATAAATTCCAAACATGATTAAATAAAACCATCTCCTCAGTTTGGCTTGATATGATCACTTGATAGAGTTTGTTTCCCTTATTTCACCACCATTTTTCTTATAAATAAACAGACCTGCATATTATCACACATGTATCAAACATGTTGTTTCTGTTAGTAAGTGCCTCAGTTCTCAGACTGAATCTTTATCCAAGTAAGAAATTGAAAGGTGAAACGTCTTTGAATGATGTCATTGCTGAGGTCGTTTCAAGGACTTGGGAGATTGTTGTCAAGAGCTGCATTCTCCCTGATGTCAACTGATCTCTGTCAAGTTACTTAGCTTTTACTCTGGCAGTGCTAGCATTTCATGAATTCAAAATATTATTCCTTAATATAAGCTCCTAACATTTAAAAATAATATTTTAAAATCTAATTAATTACAATGATTACTTACTGAATTCCTAAGAGAGAAGAATCACTTGGATGCTTTTGTCTGGGTAGAATAAACACAAGAGCTGGACTGTATTAACTGCTATATAATTTTTTTTACCAGTATTTTCCATTACTAATCATTTTCCAAGAAAAAATAAAAAGGAATAAAGTGGAACAGCAAACTTCTAATTGGCTTTGTCTTTTGATTCTGTTTGACCATCAACAGTGATGTAAGACTTGGATAGAATGTTGCCTCTCCGTGCCATGTTTAAATTTTTTGTTTACCTTTAGTGTATACACTTCATTGTGCTTTTATGGAATGACTCCAGCAGCCCATAAACTAATGCTTTGCAAAGCCTGAATACAAATGTTCGAAGCCTGTGTTAGAAACACTTCCTTTTATGATCTGAGTAGAAAATAGAGGTTTTTCGGTTTTTTTTTTTTTTAACAAATTACACTTTTGTGACCTTTGCGGTAACTAAAACTGAAAATGGCGAAGAAAAAGCTTGGAGTTGATTAACTTATGTGCTGCTTTTTAGAAGTACTACTAGAGATTATTACTGCACAAATATTTTCAGAGAAGATGCCTCATTTACAGGATAGTTGCTATTCATGTGTATCATTTTAAAACTAAGAAGAAATAAGAGCATCAGATTTTGCCCCCATAAAGCCATCATATTACGTTAACTGATCTTTGTAAATTCAATTCTATACATCAAGGTCTTTAAGGTATATCATACTTATCTTTAAAAAAAAAGATAAATTCCACAAACCTTGAGTCCTTCAGTACTGCCTGATTTACTCTATTAATTAACCTGAGAGATTTATATATATAATCCACCAAAACTAAATTAGGCAATTAACCTTCTGTCTTCTTTCATATCCCAAACAATAACAAAGCTTTGAATCATGGCCGTTGTCATTACTTACGATTATTTCCCATTCACTTTTTTCATGCCGTAATAATAGCTAATCATAACAACTCATCATAAAACACAGCCAATCCAAATTCATTATTAAATCAGCCAAAACCATCAGTCTGTACCACTATGAATGTTTGACTACACACATTTTCACACGTTCTGGGATTCAGCGTTTTTCTAAAGCCACATGTGGTTGTTTCGGTCATTCTGCTACCTAATATCAG